GTCAACGAGACGAGCTTCACCGCTCCTAAAGACGGCCCCATCCATCAGTGTCGTTCACCGGCTCAGGGAGGAGACGCTCTGAACGGCCGTCAGCTCCGGCTCTGATGGTGGAAACTGAGTCCACTGTGTGTGTGTGAATAGATATATATGTGTATGTATATGTGCAGCAAACCTGAGAGAGAAATATATCAAATCAACCCTGACAGTGGCTGCTGTTGCTGCAACAAAAAAAGCAAATAATTCACCAGAATTTCACGCAGGCACAACTTCACTAGTGGAGCAGAAATATTTCTGTTTCTCTCTTTCTCTGCTGCAGAGAATGAAGTGAGTTTCACGTCTTTTTAAAACGTCTTTTCAACCGGCGAGTCATCTGGAAGATCAGCGACGTCGACTTTAAACTGCCGTGAAACAAAGTTTTGTTGTGACACCTGAAGTGTCAGTCTGAGGAGCAGTGGAATATTCTGGGTGGAAAAATAGACTTTTCCACAGTGACAGCGACGGCAGAGAAGGAGCGAGTTCTGAAGAAGAGATTTTTTTTTTCTGCTCTCATTGTTAATGAAAATAAAATGAAAAATGAGGGAAAAAATGTAGCGATATGAAAACGTGCACTTGTGATTTTTATTTTTTAACAGGAAAAATTTATGGACTTAATTTACTGTAAATCTTCGTATTAAAAGCAGACAATAATGGGCAAAAAATAGAGAGTCAACGTGGGCGGGCGCCACTACAGCGAGAGGTGGTCGTCAGGTACAAGAGGCTTCAGCTCGCTGCCATAAAAAAGTCGATTGGATGATGAAAAAGTGGCAGCATGATTATGTTAATTTTACATTTCTAGCAAAAAAAAACTTTTTACAAGAGTGCAAAATTCCATTTAACGCAGAGCGGTTAGCGTTAGCAGCAGCAGTTAGCGTTAGCAGCAGTCTGTCAGAGAAAGTGCAAAGACAAAATCGACTCCGTGTGTTTGCCCTAGGCCTATTACACACACAGACACACACACACACACAGACTTTTATTTATCTGTGTATAACAATAACAGTGGCATCATGACAGCTCCCATCATCACTTTCGACCGAACCATTCGTCTGGATTTACAGTCAACACCACTTGATAAGTGCGGTGCTGCCATGTGACAGCTAGCACTTTTGTACAGAACCGAAAGTCCTCGTGTGCAAAAAAAAAAAAAAAAATAAGGGAGCGTCAACGTTGTGCCCTCCCGGTGTCATCACACCACTGATGTGTAAACGTTAAATAGAATTAGAGTGCATCGCGGTACCTGAGTGTAACAACACAGCGTTCTGTAAGGGTTGTAACAGTTTTCGCTGACACGATGACATCCACCGTGGTGTTGTGTAAAGACCACAGAACCAGATCAAATTCAAATCCATCACCTGAGGGAAGGTCAAAAAGTTCTGAGGCAAATCGAAGAAAGAAAAAAAAAAACAAAAAAACATTCATGTAAGAAATAGTAGTGGACGCCAATGTCCAGGAATTAAGAAAAATTAAATTGATTTAATTAAATTAAAATCATAATTTGGTCAATGACTGAATTAATGAATTTACTTGAACCTCCTTGAAAATGCTAATTGTTTGCAATTTTATTTTAATGCTACATTTTTAACAAACATTTAAAGTGTTAGGATAAAAAATAAAAACAGATGAAGCCAAGACGTTATAATGATTTGTTTCAATAAAGAAGAAAAATATTGTGGGTTAACACGCCCTGGCTAATTAATTCATTTATCGATTGGAATGTAGATGCATTTTCATCTACATTTCAAGTTTTGAATTCTGATGTTAGGCTAATGGATTAACACCTAAACTTACTTTATTTTTTTAAATTGTCTACTTCTTTGTCAAGAGATGGAACAGAGTAGAGCGGCGGCGGCCATGTTTGGGTCAGATGTATTAGAGTGAGACAACTTCATTAGGAGCAGGAAAATCAATACGGACAAATGTGTCCAGGCAGGAAGTCCACGGCGCTGGTTCTGACGTGGCCATTTCTCATCTCACTGCCTGAATCTGTTCCCGTCTCATTTCTTCTGTCGACTCTCACTTACACTGGATTTATCTGTGACTATCCGTACAGCAGGGCGGCAGTAGTACGCAAGAACCGGTCGGCCTGTATCAGTCGTTACTGCGCAATTTTAAAAATAAAACATCTGAGAACCGGTCGGCCTGTATCAGTCGTTATTGCGCAATTTTAAAAGTAAAACATCTCTTAGACTTTTTTCTGAATGACCTTTGACCTGGACGGTTTTTTTTTTTAGTAAAACTGAAGTACTTTTTTCCCCACTGTATCTCACTGCAGTCCAGTACAAAATGACCTACGGACCAGCACCGGTCCCCGGACCAGGGGTTGAACGCCCCTGCTCTAGGTGATTTTATCACCTCACTTTAAAATGCTAAACTCCACTTCAAGTGTGTGACCAATCACAGCAGCGCTTACGCTGCAGCTGAACCTTTCTAACACACAGCAGCAGGTCTCCGAGTTTCTCCTGCATCGCACTCCATCTGCAGTGACATAAACATAAAAGTCAAATAGTGGGCCCTTTGTTGTTGAGGAACAGTACACACCGTCGCCTCCAGGCATCCAGTCCTCGAGGACGGTGCAGGTAGACTGACAGACGGGCGGACAGAGCGTGGAGCCAGGACAGACCTGTGACTCTCTCTTGACACAACAGCAGCAGCAACAACAGCAGCAGGACGACGTTGTCACGGCTCACGTCACGTGTAGAGAAGCGTAGCTGTGTCATATCTGAACAAAGAGCCAGAACAAATCACCACATCCTAGCGCCGAGCACAGAGTACAGCCTGAGTACTACTGCAGTACATGACATCAGAACAGAGTAACAGCAGCTTTTAGAGGAAACGGAGGACAATTCTGTCAGAGCTGATTTTCAGGGATTTATAGAAGACAAAAAAAAACAGTCGGACTTCACTACGTGGCTCGATTGGTGCTGCAAATAATACAACATCACAGACAGGAAATGGATTAATTTTTACTAAGACTAATACAGTGTGTATTTTAATAAAACTACAACATTTGAAGCCTGTGACGAGGAGACTAAATTCAACTGCCTTTTTTTTTGTGGAGATCATTTTATCTTCGTATTAAAAGCAGACAACGGTGGGAAAAAATAGAGCGATAACGTGGGTGGTCGTCAGGTACAAGAGGCTTCAGCTCGCTCGCTTAAAAAAGTCGATTGGATGTTGAAAAAAGTGGCACCATTATTATGTTAATTTCACATTTCCAGCAAAAAAAAACTTTACAAAGGAAAAAAAAAAAAGCAAAATCAATTTAATCATGCAGCAGCAGTTAGCGTTAGCTTTTCAGAGACTTTTATTTTGACCAGTTTCCAGGGAATCCAGGGGGAAACAAAAACATATTTCTCACTTCCTGGTAATCATTCAACATCTACAAGGGGGCAGAGGTCAAGCTGGTCTGAAAGGAAGCAATCCTACAAATCATCAGGCTGGACTGAGGGGTCGGGGAGGGGGGGGCAGACCCTGATCAGTTTGCCAGTCAATCACAGTCCAGACCAACACGCACTCCTATGGTCATTGAGTGACCTTTAACCTTAATCTGCATGTTTCTGGACAGACTACCCAGAGAAGGCCACGAGATTCAAACAGCAAGACCAGCATTGAACCATCAACCCACTGGTAATCAATAAAACACAAACATCAACATTCATTCCATGTTTCTCTGCTGCCAAGTAACAAACCACCCTTGACCTTGTACCGGTTCACGACCCAGGGGTTGGGAACCCGTGCTCTACATCATACAACATTGTTTTGCACCTTTGCGGTTTGTTTTTTTTCTCCAAATGAAACATTTTCCTCCAGCGACCCAGAGCGACTGCAGCAGAAAGATTATCTGTCAAATTCACCTTGAAAACTGAAATGAGGTATGACACGCAGGACCAGAGAGGGCGCTCTACACCACCGAGGGTTAAATAAAGACAGTCTTCATGAAGATGAGACAAGAAATACTGCTCCGAGAAGAAGAATCAAATACTACTACTACAAATAGGTGTAAACACATGATAAAGATTTAAAAATCATCTCACTGATCATTTCTAGCTTTTTTATTTTCTGCAAAAATAGTATTATATGGTAAAGTATTAGTATAGTAAGTAATAGTAAAGTATTTTTCTGACAAATACAGTAAATGTACAACTTGGAATGTCCTGGTCTGTGTTTGTTTGAGAGCAGATGTTTTGACTAGAAATTAAAATGTCATTATTTTAATTTATTTTATTTTTTTTGCCTTATTCCTAAATGATCACACAGCAAATCCAACCCGTAGCTAAAAATAGCCGTTCCTCTGGCTGCTTGTGTGGAAACAATAATGGAGCGTTAGCCTTTAAATCGGCTGAGCTGGCTGACCTTTATGGTTGTGCAACAGATACATGTAACCACTTAGCATAAAGAGCTGCACATTCGTCTGTTTCTCGTTTTCTTTTTTTTTTTATCACATTGCTATTTTTAACTTCTTTTTTTTCCATCATTAGGACGAAGGCATTAAAAATCTGTGCCCACATCAGAGTGAGGGGCTTTATTTTTGTAGGAATTGGCCAGAGCAGCACAGCTCTCCTCAGTTCCCACTCATTTGCAGGTACTTCCTGTGATAGTGCCTGACTCAGAGCAGAGCAGAGCAGCTCTCCAGACTGTGGGGGATTCATCAGTGAACCAGGACAGATGCCCCTCTCTATAGGTAGCTGGCTAAAAGCTGCGTCGTACCTCGTCCCACACAAACTGTCCACTCTACTGAGACACCAACAACACACACACAGACTGTGGGTTTCTGGGTAAAATGAGACACCAACAACACACACACAGACTCACAGACTGTGGGTTTCTGGTTGAAATGATGTAACTCAGAGAACAACAACAACAACAACAAAAACAAGCGCCTGAGGGGATTTGACCAGCAGAGGTCAAGGTTCAACACATTGGCTGGTCGTTTTCCCAGAACAATAAACATAACTTTTTCCTACCTGTTCTTCAGGGTCAGGCCGCTCCTCCTGGTTGGTCTCTGCTAATCCATTAAAGTCCAGGTTGTTTCCAGGAAACTGATTTTCCAACTGTTGAATCGTATCCTCCATTTTGCGTAGATTAGTTCCAACAAGTTGATCTCCAACCGCTGACATTGTGATGATGATTGGCTCATGGCAGATTTAACGTCATCGTCGTCATCATCCTCATCATCACTCCGAGGGCAGTGAAGGCCCTATGTCCACAGAACACCTGTCCGGTCTTTGGTCGAAGGAATCCATAAACATTTGAACAAAGTCTTTCAAAGTACGATCCTGTTGTTGGAATGAATCCTTAAAAAGGATCACAGAGCTGAGGTGACTGGATCTTCATCACTTCTTAGAGACTGTGGAGTCATCGTCATAGGCCCGAAGCCTGTGTGTAAAACTTGAATTGATCCAAACAAAATGCAAACATTTAAGTTTTTTTGATTAAAAAAAACACAGGAAGTGTAAAATAATGGATGATATTTTTCTAGAAGTGATCATAAAACAGTGGTGTTTTTAAGGATTTATGTGATTTAGAGAGGATTGAAATCAGTCGGGCTTCTCAGGTAAGCATGTTAGCAGCCATGTTAGCAGCTATCTTAGCGCCATGTTGGCAGCCATCTTGGCAGTCTTCTAGAAAACCTGGAATGTTTCCAATACTCATAGTCCAACTGATCAACATGTGCCCATCCAGTTACCCCATACTCCGTAACAGTTTTTACCCACAACCATCGAAGACTTCATGGGTCTCATGTATGAATCCTGGGTTCAAAATGAGCTGAAATTAAATGAAATAAACCATTGGTGGTAAAAGCTCCGCCCACTTTCTGTTCATCTGGCTATGTTGTTTGATCACTAGTATTTTCCATAGATTATAGAGAATGTGTAGTGATACTGTAGTGGTTATCTATCCCCTATCCTACAACTGCCTTACACTCAGAAGGTCCTGGGTTCGAGCCCCAGAGGAACTACATACTTGATGCCTCCTGTTTTGTGGAATCAATAAAGTTCTCATTTTCATCAATTTGTGCACAAATATTTTTCAGTTTATCTTGATTTTTTCTGACATTCAGAGAACATGAGTAAACTGGAACCCCCAGATACCAGTTTAATCTGTTCCACAACAGCACTTGTATGTGAATCCACTAGTATCTCTTTAATCCGTTCCACAACAGCACTCGTGACTCCGCTCGTGTCATGATAAAATCCACCCCCGTCTAAACATCAAAAACATAGATATAAACAAATATATTGATCATATAAAATAATAATAATTAAAGAAAAACACTGACCCCATCTACAGCAGCTGCTGAATTCAACATTATTTACAGATATTTTCACGTGTTCAATCTCCAGAATCTCCCCCCCCCCCAATGGCCCTGACTCTTATTTACACAGGAACGGTTGGTTATTACTGTGCTGTGTTGTGTTTTGTTTTGTGATCCCGTCATCTCCGGGTCTTTTACAAGGATCATCACTTCCACAGAGGAAACAGAACAGGACGTGGCACCGAGCGGCTGATCACTGCACAGAGAGCAGATGGTGTAATGAGACCTACTGTAATGACAGTCGTACTGTCAGAGCCTTCGCTTGTATGCACTTCAACAGAGGCGCAGCGGCAGCAGCAGTGGCCACCGGGGGCACCGTTATTTTCCTATGTAAATGCTTCAGTGTAAAATCTGAGCTGAAACGTTCAAGGTTGGTCTTCGGCAGGAGGCGCTGCCGCAGGG